CTTGTTCTAAGTGGACGAAGGAAAGGAAAAAAGAAGGCTGAATGACGAGTGTCAGCTGTGGGATCCATGCCAGGTATCTCATTTTTTAAAGTGCAATAACTTTTTTACTCCGAATTTTGTAAAAAATACATCAAAATCACAACTTCTTCTAGATAAATTGCAAATTTTAATTCCCCATCCTATCAATCTATTTTACTTATATTTTAAGATTTTGTAAAACCCTACAATCTGACACAAATATTAAGGGGCTTTGGTAGTGCGAAGATAAAACTTAGAAGAGGTAATGATTCTGATTCAAATCAAATGCGACATGCTAAAAAATGTCATAGTCTGGTGGTATTGACAATAAGAGTCAAATTTTGATACTAAACAACCAGACCGATACTATGGACTCGGAACAAAAGTTCAATTTTTTGTCTTACCTGTAGATTCAATTTATAACATTCAACATTTATTCTCAAAAAAAAAACATTCAACATTTCAATTGTTCCAAAAAAAAACATTCAACATTTCAACTTATGCAATACGCTACCGATTGAAAAACTGACTCCTTTTGTTAGAATAGAAACCCCTTTTGAATTAAAAAATCTTTTGAAATTAGTCTAGTGAGGGTGTATGGAAAATAGCGATTTGACCATTTTAGCGTTTTCAATAAATGAAAACGTATTTGCTAAATAGTTGTTGGGTCTTGCATTTTTGAAAGGAACCGTTGAAATAGAAATGATGCAAATACGAGAGTTTTGGATTAGTGTTTTGAAATCTAACGTTTTCTACGAATTTTATGCCTAAACAACTAAATTACTGAACATTTTTTGTCAACTAGCCAACATATTCTGCTAGTAAAACTCACTGACTGAATCCCCTATTGACATTCCACTAACATAACTCGCAATCCACTAACCGTTAAATGTCAAACACGTACATCGATCGAGAAAAAGATGAATTATTCCCCGCATGAAAATTATACACCATATACAGGCATACAGCAGCACACACATCTCCCCCAAGGCCCAAACTCAGTTTATGATTTTTATTCGTTGTTCAAAAGACTTTTTAACTACTTGAACTCCAACTTTTATAATAATTTTTTATTTATACTAATTCGGTTTTTGGGATTCTTTAGAATTGGTAGCATGTCAAGTCTTATTTCGTAACGTGTCCATCGATTCATCCTTATGTTTGTTCTGTCTAAGTATCAAAAGAAGATTCCATGAATAAATCTAGGGGTGGACCCAGTCGACGGTTCTGGACCGAATCGGAACTGGGCCCGCCATTGTGTGGGACTGAGCCGGCTGCAATTTTTTGGTCACAGGTTTGGACCGAGTACCCGACCGGGTTGCGGGCAATCTCAGGCTCGGGTAAGGGATTTGGGGACTACATCTAGCGGTCTCGATCCATTCCATTTTTTTAAAGAATGACTGGGGGAATAGCCGTTCCAAACGGCTAGTAACAGTTAAATAGCCATTGGGGTTTGGGAGGTGGGGACTAGGGGTGGAGGAGTGGGGTGGGGGGGCTAAAACTTGTCTTATAAATACCTAACCATTTTATTCATTTTTTCCTAGAATTCTACTTGTACTCAATCTCTCTACTCTCAAATTCTCTTTTATGAAAGAAATTTGTAATTATATTCTAAAATCGGTTGAGATCAACACAATGGAGAAAGGGGTGCAACAACAACAACATCTAAGCCTTAATCCCAAAAGATTTTGGGATTGGCTAACATGAATCGAAACATGATATTAGTGCCAAAAAGAAAAGACAAACAAGAAGAAAAAAAGGAAAAACATAAAGATAAAGATAAAGATAAAATAACAATAACATAAAAATAAGATACATAAAAGATGAAAAGATAAAAGAACATAAAAAAGGCTAGAAGATAAATATAAGAATATAAAAAGATAAAGAAAGTTTGCAACGTTTTAATTTATTTTAATAACGCTACTCAAACGTTTTCTCATGTCTATACACCAATTAATTAGCAACCATTTTTTTTTATAAAAACTGTTAATCTCGCCGATGCGTTTCAAGAATTTCCCCTAGCTACTTATGTTCGTTATTTTTGTGATCACATGAAGGAAAAGTTTTTAAAATATTTTGCCTACATTCCGCCTATATATTCTATTGCTTTATGTCTCGACCCTCGTTTCAAACTTTCAAATTATCAAACAGTTTTAGAGCACTGTTATACTGCTTTTACGGTTCGTACTCTATGTAAGAGGTCACCCATATAGATCCTCAAGTCCAACTCAACGAGGTTAGTAATCTATATCACGCTTTGTTTAATGAGTTTCATACACAATATGTTAACGTATCCCTCCTCTGAAATCGTCTGCTTTTTCATCTAAAGGACAAGGTCTTTTAAATCAACAATATAGTCTTTTGAAAAAAAGTAAATCAGCTCCTATCGTTGTACAAAACTCGACTAACGAGCTTTTTTTATATCTAACATTTCATATTAAGTATCATAAAGGGGATGTTTCTCCAACGGTGAAAGAGCCACAAAGGGATGTTTCTGATTTTATAAAAAAATGGCCAAACAAGTGTTGTCAATGACGCTTTCAACGGTTGCCGTGGAAAAGAAGTTTAGCGAAGCCGGCATCGTTTTAACTGACTATGGAATGAGGTTGAGCGTTTCATCTCTTGAAACACTTGTTTGCTTCCATGATTGACTGAAGGCCCGTCGTACAACACAAGAAGTGAACATAGCACCGGACCGCCATTTCATGGAGGAAATAACAACGGACGCCGAAAGCGGCTCAGACAATTAGTTCATGTATTTAAAATTAAAGTTTAAACTATTCTCGATTGTAATTTATAAATGTGTTAATAAAACAAGTCAATGCATGTTGTGTTTCTAATAAATATACATTTCTTTTTTTAATGTTTAAATTCATTTTAAAAAATTGGGTCCGAATCGGTCTGGGACTGACTAGATAGAAGGAATCGGATTCGGGTATCGTAATACTTCGGGTTGATTCCGATCTCTGGATTGGGGAATCGGGACCAGCCGATCCAGGATCAGAATCGAGTCCGGGACCGAACTGAGTCCACTCCTAATCCCTATGGATCGAATAAAATATACTATCTCCATCCCGGTTCAAATTTTTCATTGAAATATGACATATTTACTTAGACAATAATCAAACAAAACTATTCAAGTATATTTTGAGGAATAATTATGATAGGAACTTGTATACGACGCATAATATAATGAAGTCATAGCTAATAATTGTATGTTATAGATTTATTATTTTTAATATTTAAGGATTGAGTTATCATTTAAGAGTGTTAATTTTTAAAATAAAAATGTGAAACTTTAACTGAGATGCCCAAAAAAAGAACTACTATGTATTAACCACTGATGTTATAACTAAGAACGTTTTTAATTGACCAATTTCACTCTTAGACCAAATCTAACCTGACATCGACAACTGTTATATAAACTGAACATATATGTATCAAAATAGAATAGACGAGTTTCGACCAAAAAATTTCAATTCAATTAAAAGTATCCTAAATGAGACCCTTTTCGTGCAAAGCATTAAGACACTACGTAATCTGGAGTATAATATAGAGAGTACTACACTACTACATATGTGTACACAAAAGCTGTTTGCCGACAATATTCATGTACATAGAAACATGGTTTACTCATATGCAGTCTTGGATTCGGGCCGGACCGTACGACCCGGAACCAGCCCGGGACCGGTACTGTGCTGAACCGGCCCGGGTAGGCCCAACCCTGGGGTTCCCGGTGCGGGCTCGGGTCACCCAAAAGCCGGTTCGGGCCCGGTATTTTTTATCTTTTCGGGTTGGGTTGGGTATTTTGGACCATTTAGGGTGGTTTGGGGTGAGGGGTTAATTAGGAAAAAGAAAAAAAAATTGACCCGAGGCCCGGCCCGGACCCGGTGGCTATCCGGGCCGGTCCCAGGCCTCCCTCAAAAAACCCAAGGCCCGACCGGGTCTAGGCCCGGCCTGGGTCTAGGCCCGGCCCGGGTCCATGACTGCTCATATGATAATGCTTTGTGTACACGCCATTTTACAAGCAGCTCAAATTGTGTGTATGTAGACAATTTGACCGGCGTTTTGTGAAGAAAACAGGTTTTCACACTGACCAAACAAAAATTCTCAGCACCATAGACTTCTTTTTGTCTCTGACACAGACAATTGCGAAAACCGATTCGCTTCACAAAAGCTAGTCAAATTGTCTTTGTAAAGACAATTTAACTAGCAACGTGTAGGGCTGTGCACGGGTCGGGTTTGCGAACCCTAAACCCGTTCGGGTTTTTTAATTTAAATACTAGGCCCGACCCTTTGATATTTCAAATCGGGTATTTCGGATATTTTTAAGTCGGATATTATCGGATATCGGGTCAGGTTTCGGATATTTCGGTTATATTAAAAAATATATAATTGGATAATTAAAGTGTTTAAATGCCACTTTGACAAAAAATTGTACACTAATGTACTAAACATCCAAATTACACAAATAATGTAACACAAATTGCACAAATAATTACACAAATAATTGAATAAACACACGTATTAGTTTAACATATTCAAAGTACACACTACATAATTTAATATATTTCGGATATATCGATTATAGTAAAACCCATTATAATTGGATAATTAAAGTGTTGGAATGTCACTTTGACAAAAATTGTACACAATTACACACTAGTGCACTACACATTCAATTTACAGAAATAATTTAATACAAATTGCACAAATAATTACACAAATAATTGAACACAAGTATTAATTTAACATAATTAAAGCACACACTAACATATATTTCGGATATTCGGGCGGATCGGGTTGAGATTTTACAAACCCTACCCGCCACCCGGTCTAGGCCCAATATTAATCGGATTTTCGGTTTCGAGTTTTTCGGGTCAGATATCCACTTCGGTTCAGATAATATCCAAAAAAAATATCGGGCTATTCGGGTCGGATCGGGTTTTGCTCAGCCCTAGCAGCGTGTAAAATGGCTTAACTTCCTGTCAAAATAATACTACGTAATCCCTAATTTGTAATAAGTTCGAAGATAAGTCAAATAGAACATAACCGTAAACAAGAAGTATATTTGCATTTTACATACAGATTTACTATAATGAACACTTATACACAGAATATAAATCTTATTCGCATTCTACACAACACCAGAAAGAAATAAAATGGACAAATAAATAGTTTACAACAACGTAGTTATGGTATGGACAAACTCTGTTTTCTTACGACTCAGAGTGCAGCAAAGCATCAGTCTCCTGGTTTGCTCCATCGCATGCATGGATCACAGAGCATATGTCATTTGCTTCTAGATATTGCTCGGCATTGACGAGAATGACTGGGGCATATTCGAAAACAAGTTGCTTACACTGCCAAAGTCATTGTGAAATAGTTTAGTGAGAACTATGCATACATGATACATCATATTCAGTAACAAAGTGTCTATATTCCCTCTGGCATGGTCTGTGATCAAAACTGAGAAAGTATAAGTGCTCGAGATGGCCCTAATGGTTGTTTGGTTGATGTATTTTGCAAAACAATTTGGAGAGAGAAAAGAGATTCGCATGGTTTGGTTGGGCTGCAAACTTGAAAAGAATGTGGATATGATTTTATTTTCCCAAATTTAACCTCAAAAATGAAATTGATTGTTCCAAAAAGTTGAGGGCAAGCAGTGGCACAGGCAGCACCCAAGCTGGATTGGTTTGGGCTAGGCTGGTACAGAGAAAATTTTTGGGAATTCTTTAACACAAAATATTTTATACTCATCATCATTGTCATTTTCATTTACACCAGTGCCGCAAAGGCTCCCACCTACGGTGGGGTAAGGGGGGGGTCGGATGTACGCAGTCTTACCCCTGTACAAGCACAGAGAGACTGTTTCCGGGTGACCCGTAGTGAAAATCGCGTCCAAAATTGCATGGACTGACGGCTGCTTCATAACAAAGAGGCGCAGACAATTTAGTGAGCCATTTTGTTTTATTCCATCATATTCTCAAGTCAAAAAATAATGAATCTTTGACTCCATTGCAAATGATGGAAAGTAGTAATATTTATTGGGCCGGGCTGGGGCCTAGGTTGCCCCCCAGCTACGCCCATAAGGGCAAGCATGCATTTAAACAAGACCCTTTCTCCTACTTGAGCTCATTCAATCAAAACACCCCCAAAATATTACTTTGCACTCATATTCTCCACTCCTACTTCAGTTCTTTCATCTAAAATCGTAAAAATATACCTACTCTGTGCTCAATCACTCTTCTGTCCTAATTCCTGATTTTTCTATCCATCCAAGCAAAGTGTTAGTTCTCACCTTTTTGGAATAGTTCTTTGCAGAATCACACGCCTTTAGGAGCAGTTCAAGTACTTCTAGCTGCAAATCATAAATACAATGCTTTAAAATTACAACAATGACAATAAGACCAGTCTTGACGCATGCTTCTAAAATCCTTAATAGAACAGGATCATACATACACACTCACATATAGTAATGATCTCATCAGGTTGGACTTGCAGAGTTCTATAAAGTAAAAAAAAGTTCCTGCCGTTGGATCACTTCAGCGGTTCTTATTTTTTCGCTCATATTACCCCTATTCGTTTCCAATCCGATTAAGAGCTGAAATGATTCATTAATTTCAAATATAGACACCAGGTAATCCATTTTTTCCGCAACCCATGTGGGGTTGTTTCATTAGAAGATACCAGAGAGAAATAGAGTTTTCAGCATCTATAATCACATAAATTGAACCATTTCAATAGGTTGGGTTGGGAAACAGATGGGAAGTCTAATGAGCAACAAAAGTTAAACTGATGAAGTAATCTAAGGGTAGGAATGAACTTGACCTCAAAAAAACTGTCAGTGCGGCCTACTCTGATCAATCTCTTTGTATGATGTATCAATGCATGTATTAGACAGTGATACCTGAGTGTCTGGATCTTTCAACTTCAATAAGACCTCAGAAACAGCTTGATGGCACAAATTGCAGTTGTTAGAAAACTGCTGAGAAAGAAGGGTGACTTTTTGACACATGGCTGCCTTTTGACAGAACTGTTCAGGCTCTATTGTGGAGACTTCTAAGAATAGAAGAGGTCCATAGTAATTCACCAATGTGATGCACTGCAAATATAAATTAAAAAAACATCACTTTCAGGAGGTTTTTGTTACAAATACTTTCAAAGTTTCTACAGCCTATCTAACAGAATGAAATTAACCCCTCTTTACAATTCCCTCATCTAGGAAATGAGTAGAGAAAATGTAAAATCACCTTGAATTAACATTGTTATTTCAAACAAATGATTCATCTTTAACACATAGTTGAAACTTGACCATACATACCTGCTGCTCATACACACGCATCTTCGGGCAAGACTTAAGAAGGAGATTAATAATCTCTTCTTGGGTCTTGTTACTCTGTAGGTAAGTGATAGCCTCCGCTGTAAATTCTTCACATAGTGTGCAAACTATATCACTTCTGCTGGCTTGTTTAACAGCTTGAACATCTTTCTCTGTGTTTTGATTATTCAAGCATTAGTGTACTAATATAGTACTATAAATGTATAATAAAATAAAGAATGTGTAAGCAAGAAATATCAGATCGGAGAAGATAATATATAATTCTTTTTGTAAGATTGTGTCTTTATTCATAAGAAAAACTGAAAAAGTAATCTGGCTGGAAACAAATGAATCTTGTCCTATAACCCCAAAATGACCCAAAACTTTGAACAAAAAAAATTACAATTGATCCTAAGCTTTTCAAACATCTCATTTATCCCAAAAAATCACAAAAAGAAATCAATAATCTATGACCTAAATTTTCAACAAAAAAGTCCAGACAGCTTTTAGCTGTTTGAGGCATATCATGTATGGACAAGCGAGTATGCAGGAACGTCAAGTACAACAAAAACTATTAAGCCATGAAGAAAATTATAGGTGACAAAAAAACTAGTTGCAACTTGCAATGACAAAAGTATAGAATACATCACAAATCCAAGTAAAAAAACAGTCAACAGTTTGAACATATATCTCTTTCTACCATTACTAGTAATAAAATCGTTTCTTACAAATCTTACAATATTATTTGCATATCTAAGTGTTGTGTTAGAAGCGCATGCATACATGACACTCCAGGGGCTGATCCAAAAACCAGGAATCAGAGTTAAGGTGGGTTGACGAGTGATTATACTAGATTTAAACTAATAATGGAACGCGTTAAATGGGAAAAACAGGAGCGTTTACAGTTTTACACTAAAAAAAAGAAAAAATTAGGTTTCACTGGACTTCAATCCACCATATCAAGTGTAGATCCTCCCCTGAACATGCCTAAAGTCAGTTAGGATGTTTTTGAAAGTTCTTGGATATCCGTAAAATACTTCCAATATTGTGTATTTGTGTTTTAGAAAGAACAATGTGGTTTTACAATGGTTCATCCTTTCTCAATAAAAATCAACCCCACAATTTCACTGCCTAAAAATCAGTGTATGAAGTCAAAGTGCAGATCTTTTCAGAACTGAGGGAGTACATGCTGTAACTTTCTTTACTGAACTTGAGACTTCCACACCTCAATGAAGTGATAAGAAAAAAGAACTGGTTCTTCGACATTTGGTAACAAAACAGCACATTCCTTACTTTGAGGCCAACTGGACAATCTAATGCCAGAAGGCCCAGAATGAATGATCATTCTAGGTCTAATGGATCACATGATATCATACTCATTTCATTATAACTGTAAACATTGTCCCAGTCAGCACAAAAAGTGTGACAAATATCTAGAAGCGAACAACACCTGTAATATGTATGATTTCTGTACTAAGGTCAGGAGCTGATAAATCTCTTGCACTACATCTTGCACCTATAACTAAAATAATTAAGCAAACTTTCATATCCATGCTTCCTGAAAAATAAAATAAAAAAACGGGCTTAAATCACCAATACATGATAAAAAGATTTTATTTTTGGAAAGCTAAAACACAAACTTGACTTCGGGTAAATTTGGCTGATCTTGGCTGATCAGCTCAGCCTCACCCATCAACAATTATTTCCATTAATCTAGTTTAATATATACCTTATAATAACTCTGTTAACAAGACTATTTAAGGCTTCTGGATACATCTACAGGCACTAGGCAGCCAATATATTTAATTCGCGATCACTGTTCTTATCTTGAAAGGATTGAGTTCCTACTGCTAAAACTCAAATATGTGCATAAAATTTTCAACATGCTTAAACTCAAATACACAACACCGTATGTGGAAAACAAAGTTCAAGATTCTGTGCGATGGGCTTTGTACCAACTGATTTGTACAAGCAATATGGCGTTGAAATAGCAAAAATCCAGTATGATTTAGACCCAAAGTTATTCAAGTCACTCAAGTCAATATACAAGTCGGCAAGTAGGAGGATATCAGTTCATCTCCCTAAACACAGATTCATTCATAACCAATACCATCTGAAGCTTTACGGTAAAGATGCGTCTGAGAAAAGAAACCATACCTGCGAGAAGATCGGAGAGACTTGCGAGGAGATCGGAGAGACTTGCGAGGTTTCTTCAACGTTACTGGTAGCTCAACTTTTTTTGCCCTTGTTGGCTTTATCCGTACGGGAAGGAAAGTATCTTTGATTGGGATTTTGGCGTACTTACGGGGAATCTAATCCACAAACCCGACTTGCAACCGGTTGCAGCCGGTCTTTATAAATATATATGGACTAACTTAAAGTGTCAATTAGCCCCTTATATAGGAGGTTCTGCCCGGCCGTCGCCAATTGGGGCGGTTCCCGGTGGAATTTTTTGATAAAATTTTTTGAGCATCTTTTTTATTAAGTCTAGTTTACCCATACCAAATTTCAGCTAAAAATTCAACCGGGGAGGCAGTCAAATGATTTTTTGAAGATAACTGTGCAGTTAAACAACGCAGTACATTTTGGAAAATCATTTGACTGCCTTCCCGTTTTAATTTTGAGCTGAAATTTGATATGAGTAAACTAGACTTAATGAAGAAGATGCTCAAAAAATTTCATCAAAAAATTCATCCGGGAACCACTCCAATTGGCGACGGCCAGGCAGAACCTCCTATATAAGGGGCTAATTGAACACTTTAAATTAGTTCATGTACCTATTTGACCCTTTAGCCTAAATATATTTTGGGCCCTTCCCAAAGTTTTGTTTAGAATATAAAAAGTTAAAATTGATTCAAAGTAGGCTAAATTTGTTAAAAATTACGTACTCCTAAAAAAATTAATTGATAAAATTGCCCAATATGATCACGTCTCTACTATAGAACTAAATGTATCTTTATAAAATATACTTAAATAAATGCAACATGTTGAATTTTACACTATTCACATGTTGTACTTTGACTTCATGTTATTAATTAATGTATTAATGTATTTTTATGAAAAAAGTATTGTTACGTTTATCTCATTGTAGATTTTCAAAATCTATTGTTTTTACTAATATAGAATTATACTACCTCCGTTCTCAAATAAATGCAACACTTTGACTTTTACACTATTCACATGTTCTACTTTGACTACGTTTTATTTATTAATATAATAATATTTTTTTATGAAAAAAATATTGTTAACTTGTCTCATTGTCAATTTTCATACTCTAATTTTTTTAAATTTTTTACTAATATAAAATCATACTATCGTATATATTAATGGTCAAAGTTGTGTCTCGGCAAGTGTGAAATGTTGACCGTTGCATTTATTTAAGAACGGAGGAAGTATATATTAAGGGTCAAAGTGTGTCTCAGCAAGTTTGAAATATTGATTGTTACATTTATTTAAAAACGGAGGGAGTAGATAACATGTATACATTGCTTAACTTTATACTTGCATTTTTTACACAAAACAAAAATTCATAGTTGTTGTGAGTTTGTTTTCTTCATTGAGAGTTTAGTTCAATTTATAATTTGGTCCCGTCTTTCTCGTGTGCACACCTATGCTAAGGGAGCATTGGAGCAAGTGAGCAACAATCCTATTTCAACTTTGCATCATTCACTCTCTGGGTTTCACAAAGAAAAAGAGTTTAATGGAGAAGAAGAAGGGCTTCACAAAGAAGCCATAAGTATGACCTGGAAGAAGACTAAGGGTATGTTTGGTAGAACAAGCTGAAAAGATAATTTTATGAACTTTTTAATAACTGTTAGCTCTTAATGACTGAAAAGATCTTAAAAAAAGTAGTAGTAGTTTGATAAAAAACTGACTATTTGATTTAGCTCTGTTTGGCATACAAGCTGTTGAGACTAATTAACGCTAGAACACACAGACTTATCTGAGATGCTACTCAGTATTCACTGTAGCATCTGAAAAAATATCTTTTATTTTTATAAAAGCTCTTAAAAATTGGCATACCAAACATACAATTTGAAGTTTTTAAAGACTTTTTAAATAGTACTAGTACAAAAGTTAGTCATGGACTTATGCATGCCAAACATAGCCTAAAGTTCGAAATTTCTCTCACACCACTAAGGCAGTTGTCATATAATAAGAAACTTTGATTTTATGAGCACATATCCAAGGACACTTCTATCATTCATTGCCCACACAGCTCACAGGACGGAAATAGTAAAGTTGAGAAAGATTTCATATGAGATCGGTAAAATAAATTGGGCTGATAAATGGAATAGAAAGCGTATCAGGTTGCTAGATCAGATGTAAACTATTAACACTATATCAACAGCGTTAAAAAAAAGGATTCGGGGACAATAAAAATATAGTAATCATCATTACTACTGCAAATATGTATATGTACCAACCATTAATGTGTAGCACGGTAACATTGTTTACATAGTAACCATTTTAGATAGACTTAAATTGTTCATAACAAATTCACACTACATTAAGTACAAAGTTAAACAAAGAACTTAAATCACCTCTATTTATAAAAGTGCATGACATAGTTATATCAGAGACCTGAAACTCGGTTCAAAGATAAGGAAATACATCTTGCAAAAGACGTAACTGGTAAGTTCCACTAAGCTGGCTTTTGATTAAAAAAGAACAACATTTCATATAGAACTTAACTTGCTGCATTTCGGAAAGTTATTAGACAATTTTAATCAGTAAATGAATTGAGACATTTTTTAAGTATGTCTATTTAGACAATTGTTGTAGACCTCAATTTTTTTAGGACTAAGGTTTAAATGGTGTTGTTGTTGTTGTCGTTGTCCGTTAGGACTTTTTCTTGAAAACCAAGTGTTAATAGTTTTGTGATGGTTTTGGTTCTGAACTCGAGGACCGATTGGTAGAGTTCAGTCCATCGTGAAGTGGGTTTGCACGGTAAGCTTGGTCCGAAAGGGAACTTTGGTTCTCGTCTATTACTTGTATGATCGCAATGATGTACTTGTAATGGTCCGGCGATGATGAGTCTCCTCATAACTTTGTATTGCTACTCTACACCACTTAGGACCAATAAAGTGGAGAATGTTGGAGGTATTGGTCCCACCAAGGCCTCCCTTCCATTTTATTATTGACTTGCACCCTATGTTTACTCTCACAGTTTCATTCCGATAATTGTTTCTCTTTTGGCTGTTGACTTACCTAATGCTTGGCCCCCTTTCCGTGTTGTCCGCTGCATTCATGTCTATGTTGGCCCATGAGCTTTTGTCTTAGCCTCTCCCGTGAGTTGTCAAGTGGCCAGTATACTATTATTTGAACCCTTAGCCTCTTCCTTTGAGACTGGTCCTGCGTGAGAAACAAAAGAGTACAGAGCCTTCCTTTTTCCTTTGTGTGAGAGAGGTAAAAGCAGAGAGTTGAGAGCTGAGTGTTCTCCTCCTTCCTTGATGTCCTTTGTGTGAAACCTTGGGAGTGTAAACATGTTGAGTGGTGGAGTGAGTCTAGCCTAAAGTGGTGTGTGTGAGTCTAGCTAAAGGGTTGGAGACCTGAGCCGGAAAGGAATCGATCCTCAACACCAAGAAAATTTTAATTGTAAAAAAGCTAGAGGTAGAGAAACACAGTCAAAACTATGTACTGCATAATTTAGTAGCTTTCCTGGTAACTCACCTGGTAGGCTTGTAAGAAGGGGGTGCCACAACGGAGATGTTTTGGGTTCAACTCCAAGAAATGATTTGGATGGAACTCCACTCTCTTTCCATGAGACTGAGATCAAAACTCAACTTACATCCCTTCAGATAGCTATTTGGTCAGTTCTTGGGGCCCTCAGGGATGAGGTGTCATCCATTTAGGAGCTTCAGCTATCACACTTTAGCAAATTAGTGTCCAAGAGTTTTTAATCATAGCTGCGTTTGAAAATTTTAAAAGTGGCTCTTTATTTATCCTTAGTACAATCCTTCCTTTTTAAGTTGTTAACATGCTATGTTTTAAACTTTCTACGTCTTAGCAGCACTCAAATAAGTAGTACCCTAATTTGGCGTGTTATATACTTATATGTATGGTAATCGTTGTCGGGATTTTATGGTGGAACCTTGATATTTATTTCATCAAGAGAGTATAAGACAATAGTCCGTATTGGACATCTGCGCAAAAAATGCACAATGTGACCTAAAAGTGACATCTGCGTAAGCTCAATATTACCTAAAAGCTATGGACAAATTATAAAACTCAATTAAGAGTACTTGGAAAAAACTCAAACCAACGATCCATTGAAGAAAACCTTTAAAAAATCCAAAAAGTGAGGATCCAGAGAGTTGGGGGATTTTTAGCAGCATAATATTTTACTTCTGATGTTTGATACTTAGTTAGCAAAGTACATACATGCCTAAACAAATTGGAGACTGTTGGAATCACATACAAAATTGTGTCAAAATTAGAGTTAAGAATGATGATGGACTCCCTTGCCAAATTGTCAAACAAAGTTTTGTCAACATCAACACTCAACCTAGATACATAATTCTTTTTATCACTTGCCAAATTACTCAAAAGTGTTTAAATTTATGAATTTATGAATCACATTCAAATTTTTGTGTTATACTTATGTACTGATTTGAGTCCATAATAGTCATACAACAAAAGAGTACACAAGATAACTGGTGGAATCTATTAGCCACACAACAAAAGTTCAGAGACTCATTAGCTACACTGGTACATAAAGTTCAGGAGGCATCATGATCATGATCATACCTGCCGACTTAGAACTTAATCAAACACACATTAAATTAAATTAAATAATTAATTGATAGAATTAGTAATCAGAGGTGTTCCTGTTTTACACATTGCGGCACCTGAAAACTGCTACAGTCTGCTTCATCCTCTTCTTGTTCATCCTCTTCTTTTTCTTCATCTTCTCCTTACTTTGTTTTGTCACAAGAAGAGAGATGCGTGACAGGCCAAGGCCACCAATCTTTCTCTTAGCTTGGGATTGCTTATTACTAAAAGGAGCATTGTTCTCCTTATTGGTGTCTTTCAAAGTAGCACTACAGTGCAGCATTTGCCCGAATGACACTTTCTCCTTCTCCACTTCTTCTGTCACTTGCAGCTTCATCTTCAGTATTTTCCCTATAGAAAGTGTCGTTGACGACTTGTCCAATTCTTTGAGATGCTGAAGTGGCGGTGCTGAAGAGTTCTTCTTATGTAGAGTAGTAGTGCAATGTCTTCCTTGGGATTGCTCGTACCTCCACATGCGTAAGGCTTCTTCTGCCTCAAGCTTACTCCTATGTGCTGCCTCCACTTTACTCAATGCTTCCTCTAGTCCCTTCTTGCTGACTCTCAATTCTTCAATGGC